GCAGTACTGTTGCAATATGACAAAGCCTATCTCCTGTCGGCTGTAGTCGGTGAGTGCCATTGTTGGCCGTGAGATGTTTTAATACCGCAGCCCCTCTGCAGCTAGTTTGCCCACCGCCTCCCTCGTCTCTTCGAAAATCACCTGCAACTGGCTGTCCCAACAGACTGTCTTGTTGGTGGGCTTCTTCAGTAAGTTGCTAAAAGGCTCCATCAGGGGCGTGACAGCGATGAACGGGGCCACCTGGTTCATGAGGCCGAACCAGGATTGAATGTCGGTGATTGAGGGCTCGGGTGGTATGCAGAATTTGGTGATGCTGCTGATGAGGTCCTGGCTCGGCTGGTAATCCTCCTAGTTGAGAAGGTAGTCCGCGAACGTCACGCTCCTCCTACAGAAGCGGAACGTGTCGGACCTGAAAGTGACCCCACCCTTCACACATGTCTCGAGGAAATCGTATGTGTGCCAGAACGCTTCAGCGATGCTGTGGTCGTATAACAATGGTGTTATCGATGCACTTCATTTTCCTTGGTACGTCCGCCACCACGTCGTTGAAACGTCTGGTGAATGCGTCCTGTGCTGCACAGTATCCCATGGAGGTGAGCTTGTAGTGGAATCGGCCCCAGGGGGTATTGAACGTTGTGAATCTCTTGCTCTCGTCATCAAGTGGGATCTGGTGGTACCCCGAGTATGCGTCCGCCACCATCTTGAATGTGTGCTTCGGGACACTCGAGATCATGTCGAAGGGGGGGCGGGTGTGGTCGGTCTCACACTGACTCGCCTGGTTGAGGTGCTGAAAGTCTACCGTCCTGCTCAACCGCCCATCCCTTTTGGGGACGACCACCATGCGAGAGCACCATTCTGTCAGCTCTCCAACGGGCACAGGCTCGATGATGCCCCTCCTCACGTCTTCCTCGAGCTGCTGGTGAACCTCGTCGTAGAAATAGTGGGGTATTGTTTCGGGCATGTGCACCGCATACGGTTTAACGTCTGGAAAGCAGGTGAATATGGTGGGGAGGTCCTTGCATCTCGAGCAGGGGGGGTGCAGTTCACCGCGAATGCCGTACACCCGGAGTACTCAACGAACCACTTCTCCAGCCTCTCCACATTCTCTTCTTTCAACTCGCATGGAGGCGTTGTGGGTCGGGCAGGGGTGCTTGGCTCCTCTTCGATGAGCCTGTGGCGCTGACAAGTGTCGGTGCGCTGGGGAAGTCACAAGGCACCAAACCAAGTCCTCTGCACACAGACAAAGACAGGTACAGAGACTGCATGCCTTCTGTGAAATACAGGCGCGTCCTGGTTGTGGCATGTCCCACGGTGACTTGGCACTCCTTGCTCCTGAGTATGTTCACATCCCCTCCGGCGATGTGGTTTACTGCGGTGTAGGCTCCGTCCAGGTGGTATGGGTCTAGCCCCAGAGCGCGGACATGTTACAGCCCGGTCAGACACACCTGTGTGCCAGTGTCTGCTATGGCGCGCAATTACCGTGCCTCCTCCGCCCCACTGCAGCTGATCGACACAGTCAAACTAGCCGTGTCCTTCGTCAGGCCCGCGACCACAGCCGCGCCCGAGGTGCTTGCGTAGACGCTGGGTTGTACTGGTGACTTGAAGACGTGCGCGAGGAGTCCCTCCAGGCCGCACTTGTAACAGGTTATGTGCAGCGTGGGACACTTCTGGTTGCCAGCACACTTGCCGCGCCTGTATGTTTGGCAACGTCGCTGAGGTCGGGTGCGAGGGGTACCGGCATTGCTATGTGACGGCGGCTTTGGTTTAAAATGGCGGGTTCCGGTGCCCGCAACCGCCCCCGCACACAACATGGAAGCGGTTGTCTCCGCTGACTCATAAACCTCACATGCACTTATAACGTCGCCCACATCTTTCAAAGGTGGGAGCCGGCGCAACACTTTACCTTTCATACTGGGGTGAGCGAGCCCCATCACTAGTTTCTTCGCAAGCATGTAGTCATCCAAGCTAGGCTCACCTGAGCGGCACTGAAACCTGCACTCCGCAACCTTCGACCCGCACCTCACTACATACCTGGATATGTTGTCGCCGGGTTCATGTGTGTAGGTGAAAAAGTCTGCCCACGCACCCACAACGCACTTTGGGCCTACCACAACACTTTCTACAGCCCTTAAGGCTTCCTCTACCGTCATGTTATCATAGACAAACTTGTTCACTCGCGCATCAATGCACTGCTGCACCTCCGTGTCACACAGAAGGCAGACGCAACCTGCTGCCAGAGCCTGTGGCCAGTTGCATTCGTAACTAGGTGGCGACGCTGAATGCCCATGGACGCCTTGCCCGGGGCCACTGGCGGGGCAGGTGAGTGCCCTGCTGTCTGGGCCTGCTGTGGGAGCATAGGGTACAGCAGGCCAGCTCCAATACCGTGTAAGCTGCCATTGCTCAGTGGCAATGGTACTGGGCCCGTGTTGACAACCAAATGTGGACTGAGTTCCACGCCGCCCTCGCTGCTCCGATGGTGCTGGCCTGGGAATGCCACTGTAGACGTCTTCCTCTGGGACATCCGTAGAAGTACACTGCGCCATGTTAGGGAGCCAACCCGGAGGACAATGAAAGGCCGTGTCCATATTCTGTTTATTAGTGAAGGTGACAAGGGAGAACAGACATGTCCACACAGCTTGGAGGCTGAGCCGGAACTGATTGTTAAACTTCTGCGGCCGCTGTTGGTGGACCCATACACTGTTGCCAAACTGGCACATACCCTAACAGTAAGTAATGAGAAATATCCCTCCTCTCAGTTACTTACTTCCCATCTCTCTCTTCTACACTGTTGTCATATACTGTGTTACTGAAATATTTACATGATCGTAAGGTGCAAATTCCCCCTCTTACGTCTGGCTGCCTCTCCTTCCACCTGCCACAAACTACTGTTGATACGATTATGACAGTCAGGGGCAGCCTTTCACAAGTTCACCAACACCATGTTTTTGAACCAATTAGGGTATTGGTGCTGTGGACCTGCCCAGAGTTTCTTACAAAATGGTAGACATAAATACTACACTGTAACAGAAGAGCCAGTGATCATTCTTCCTCTACTGAAAGCTGCCCTCTCTACCATAAGTATTTCTCATAAGTATTCATTGTTCGTGAAGTACAACATTTGAAGGTGACGCTCAGTTGTGTTAAGTTCAGTAGTGTTATTTCCTGCCATGTAACTTTTAGCCGAGTCAGTGTAGTCATGTATAAAATCGCTACTGTTCAGAAAGTTAAAACTAAGAGTGCTCGAAGTGATTAAGTAAACAGACTATTACAAGGCATCTTGACTTATTATCTATCATCCCAATGTGTCTAGAGACAACCTTCATTATAATACACTGTAGTGTGTTTCAAGACTACATTCTGTGTGTTGTACTGTACAGGTATTCCTCGCTATACGAATGGGTTACGTTCCTGAAAACCATTCCTTAAGTGAATTTTTGTATATCGAATAAAAGCACATATGAAATCAATTTACGAAAAAACCAAAACAACCTAACTAATGATAAATGGGACACTCCTACTGTAATTTTCTACTATGCAGCTAAAACCATTAGGGAAAACTAAATGAAAATTTAACAGCCACCATTTTCATAAACGCTGGCAGTGTCACATGTGGCTGTTCTTAAACCTCACCATAGCAACCAAGCCCAGCTGGGGATACTGACTCTTAGCAACACTACCTCTCCTGCAGTCACACACAACGAAATTTTTATTCCTTTATGTTTTGAACTTAAGTTATTTTTTTTTTTTTTACATTATGTATGTAGCATTGTGTGTGTGCATGTAACTGAGTAAGAAAACGTGAAGAAAGTTGAGTTTATCTACCTGAAATTTTAAGTTGAAAAATAACCATAATATAACCCCCAGCTCAACCTACTAACTCTTGCTGGTGCACAAAGAAATTTTTATTTGTTTAAGATAATTGTTTTATATTTTTATTTTTGTTGCACATTTTGTATGTAGGATTGTGTGTGCATGTAAGTGCACAGTTCATTAAAAAATATTTTTTCTAGAAGATATGTTACCTCTATTTATCTTTAAAAAATATACTGTATTGTCTTTAATGGGGTAATATAAAGTGGTCGAATTAGAATTGTTATACAGTAGTCCTAAAAAGAGCTAATAGGTACAAAATAACATGATGTGTAAACTTACTGGAGGGGGTGGGGGGGCGTACTGGCCTTGCCTTGCAAGTTTGTTTTTATTTATTTATTATTATATTCTTGCATTATCAGCCTCTTATGGTACATGTTTCATCATAAATAATATAAAGTACAGAATTAAATAACATAACAAATCTGATAATCTGTAATTTCACTTCAAAATAAAGGAAATACTATATAGAAGGAAATGTACATGACATTTATTGCACATTAAAATACAAATTTAAGGGTCATCAGAAGGGTGGGGGGCTAATGAGTGGCTGCCTAGTGCACAGTGCCTCTCCCCCACCCCCCCCAAAAAAAAAAATAATAGTAAAAATAAAAAATAAACTTTGTAAAAGTCCAGACAAATAGTAAAAATAAAAAATAAACTTTGTAAAAGTCCAGACAATCAGCAACTCCAGACCCCCTTTTCTCACCCAAAGTGTCAGGACTTAAAGGGTTTACTGTACAATTTACCATAGTCGAGTTAGTTATGCTAAATATGCTTTAACTTCATAGGTTTTCTTTGTACAGGTATATAATTGTCACTCAAATTATGCATATAAACATTTGAATGGCAGATAAAGTAAACTGACATTACTCTTGTTGGGCCATGAGAGTGGATGGAACTTAGGCCTGCGATAGTTCCAACTACATAACTAACGATTAATGGGCTAGGAGGGGGGTTGGAGGGATTGAGACACATTTGGGCACCCTGCTTCTCCCTGGCCTGACTTCGACCTTTTCTCTGTTAGTCGAATATTGTTTTTCACTGTAAATATCATTGTAGGGCAGATAAGCATTAACTTCAAACAAGCAACAGTAAAGAATAAATTTCTAATAAGACTTTAAAATCACCTTTTGTAGAGAACTATTTGTCATAGTACATTCTGAAAAATCCAGTTTTTCACAAGAGCACATATAGTCTATGTACAGTTGCTGGAAGTCTTTGGACACTCCTTGCAAGTGACACAGATCTGCGACTTTCAGCAGAGGGAATATATGGCGGAAAATAACGTCATCCCACGGAAGGTCGCTCAGCTGGAGTGGCTCCTTATATGACATACTTTCTGTAAGAAAAAGTAAGTTACCGTACATATATAGATACAGTAAAGTATCTATCAACCAAATACTGTAATTTGAGACCTAGACGGTTCCATGGACAATTACATAAAGTTGATACTAACATGAACAAGAGTCCAAGGAAAGCATGTAATAAACCATGGTACTTGACACTTGCATCAGTTTGGTTACATAATTAGTTTCTGCAAATACTTCTTCATTCTTTAACACACTTAATATTATTAAGTCCTAAATAAGTTTTCAATGTGTCATCATTCTCCTACAATCACTATAAAGGTACAGGGTACAACTTTCTCCTCAACTCACACCATCACACACACTGTCACTCAATATAAACCTAAACACAGTAAGCTTGGCTGTAAAATACAGTACGTACATATATTTTTTATGTTGGCAGGTCACAACCCTATTCTTCCCATTTATTAAATTATTTGGTATCCAAATATTCAATAACTGAAAGGCTTTCAAAAAACCTAACCCCATTTGGCTAGCAAGGGATACCTGTTACATCTTCAGGGGATGAAGACATTACGTATATGGGGTTAACAGCTCAGTATTGCACATTATTAACACTGAGCTTTGAACATTGCATACTGTACTGGACTCGTGGAAGGAGGCTATGAGAAGTACAATACTGTACAGATCTGCCTGACCAAGTTCACCACATTCTTCAACTGTTTATCACCTGTCTTGTTCTCGCAATGGACATAATGTGTTTTTTACTTTCCAGCTGCTTGGCTACGCCACCGTCGCGGGTGGATAAGAAAAATTAACATTGAGAGAGCTATCCTCCTCTTGTCTCAGAATTTTTGCAAACACCCTTCCCATGTCTCTCTCAAGCCATGATAATGGATGTTATGCGAGAACAAGACAGGTGATAAACAGTTGAGGAATATGGTGAACTTGGTAAGGCAGATCTGTACTGTACTTCTCATAGCAGCCTTCCACAAAGGAAAAAGGAAACACTGGAGCACCTTAGGTTTTGTCTTTATTCAAGACATCTTCAGAGGCAACTGAATTTACAGGGACTGAGAGAGGCTTATATACAAAGGGTGACCGTACATAACATCAGGTGCTCCAGTGTTTCCTTTTTCCTGTTTTGTTTTATCAATATACAGGAGGTCCCCGACTTACAAATGCACGCCGATATGAACAGGGTTAAACTTGAAATTTACAGTATTTTATTTACCTGATGACTTATTTTTTAATGTTATTTATTGTATTTTGTCATTCTTTTTCTTCTTTTGTCTTAAATTAAATGATTTTAAATGTATATAAGGACTTAGGCTATGATATATATATATATATATATATATATATATATATATATATATATATATATATATATATATATATATATATATATATATATTTGGGTAATTAGTCGGACCGCTTTAAAGACCCAGACTTTACCAGCACTGGGGCAGGTTCAGATACATTCAGGAGCCAGTGCATGCCCAGTACTTGCCAACAGTGCATAACAGAGACGTGACCGACCGCCCAAGCAGCTAACTAGCCGACCAGTGGCGACTGGCGAAGAGGATAAAAGTAGAAGTAAAAAGCAGATAACCACACAGACACTCACAGCATCACCAGTGGACTGCCTTTATGTAAACACTAGGCAGTGTTAAAAAAGTTCCACGACCAAAAGTCTCATAATTTATTGTTCAAATGATGTGAATCAATAAAACTTGAAATAACCTTCAGTAGTTTATATTTCGCTAAATATTATAGATTAATGTTATCACAACTTTATTCGAGAAATCTTTTTAATATTACCCGACTTGTCAATTGAAATCCTTAACAACAGTAAGAGTTGCCAAAGGGTAAATATGAGTCGTATTTCCCATCAGATTTTCATTGGTCGCCATGGTCTTAGTTACTGGTGGATCCAGTAAGCCTTGACATGAGGTGATGTAGTTTATGATACTCTGCCGCTGCCATAGGTTGGCTACAGTTAGTTAGACCAATTTTCACCCTTGTGACCTGATTTAGGCAGGCTGATCAATGGATAGTTATTTTTCGTATTCGCGATGATCTTTCAACTTCAAGCACTTAATAATTCTTAGTTCCCCTGATTTTCATGTTTCAGTATTAAAACTTCCAACTCTCCTCTCCTTCCCTCATGTTTTTATCCCTTTTTATGCCTATCTACGTTAGCTCTTACCATCTCTTTCTTTTCCAAATGAAAATAACTTGATTCCGGAATTCCATTACATTCATATATCTAGAAAAATGACAAGACAGGTACATTCAGGAGCCGGTGCGTACCCAGTACTTGCCAACAGTGCGTAACAGACGTGACCGATCGCCCAAGCGGCTAATGAGCCGATCTTTTTTAACGAAGAGGATAAAAGAAAATATTGGACTACAGTTTAAAAGACAAAGTATAAACCGCGACTGGCATTGTGGGGTTATCAGTGGCGTAGCTAGAGTGTGTGCCGCCCGGGGCGGCCCTTGAGTTTGCCGCCCCCCGTGCCCCCACAAAAAATACATATTGCACAGTGACTCACTCTTATATATATATATATATATATATATATATATATATATATATATATATTAAATAGTTTGTGTACCATTATAATATTACTGTACTTTCACATACTCAAATATAGTATGCTTTAAATACACACCAAACATACTTAAACTTTATAAGTAACAGTTAAACAAAAAGCAAAAACGACATATAGGATAGGGAAAAAAGTAAAAAAGTGTAAAAAATTAGGACCATTGTAGTGGACGACTCCCCTACAAACTAACTGCGTAGCAGCCCACCACCTGCTATCACATTCCAATGTGCCGCCTTCCCTAGCAACCAACCAGATGTTACCGTATCTTAGCAAAGGAACTAGTCACCGGCTACTTCTCGGGTTTTCCCACCATGACTCATAGCGGCTGCTGCGGGGTATATAAGCTCTGTCTCTCCCTTGAGATTCAGTCTGACCAATCTTCTTGAACAAGCAACATCTCCTCCAGCAAGCTCCTAGCTGTCCAGCATTCATTCAATCAGGAGGCCAGCAACAGGCAACATCTTCTCTAACGAAGCTCCTGCACATCTACCTCCTTCAACAAGCTACTCACCGCACGTCTCTACCAAGCAGCCCCTCACCACACAGCACCTCCAGCACCAGACTGTCTATCATATAACTTATATATTATACAAGAAAACCACATGTAGAGTTTCCTTCCATCCTGAGTGCTAGACAACTTTAATATCTCGATACCCCTACACCATCTTTATTTCTGAAATGAAAACTACAACTTCCTACAAAGTAACTTTTCTTGTTTTTTGTTGGCAAATTCTTCAATGACATTGTCAAAAACTATTTCATCTGTCAATTGTCGCTCTATAGACAGTATGGCAAGATTTCTCAACCGCAAGGTGCTCATAGTAGATCTTAAGTAATTCTTGATCAGTTTTAGTTTCGAAAAACTCCTCTCACAGGTAGCAACACTAACAGCAATTGTGAGGAAAATCCTCAGCATTATTACTATATTTGGAACCGAGTTCCCAAGGTTATACTTTTGAATAAACTGCAAAAGTTCAAGGGGGCCTTCTTTCCACGTCTGTATTCTGTCTTTAATAGTTATAGCAGCAACAGCAACAAAATGCTGAAGTCTTTTTCTCTCAACGAGGAACTCCTCTTTATCAATGTCGTCGTGATCGTGATCTATTTGACACTCATATTTATCATCCAAAAGATTCAATGGGGTAAGGAAGGCATATTTCTCAGCAAGTTCATGAAGCTGTTGAAATCTCAAAGTTATTTCTTGGATCACTCTGTCCAGCGAAGAAAACATTTCTCTCCTCAATTCAATGTCGTATGGCAATTCAGCATCTCGTGATCCTTCACCAAACATATGTTTCTTCTTTTTGGGTCGACGCCGATACAAAGGGATGGATTAACATCTCCAGTAGCTGCAGATATGGGTGATGAGCAGACCCAAAAGTGCCGCCCCCCAAAAGTGCCGCCCGGGGCGGACCGCCACCCCCCCCCCCTAGCTACGCTAGTGGGGGTTATGAGATATTGGTTCACACTCAGGATGGGTTGGAGAAAGGGAACTCACAATGTGCTCTCTGCATACATATTGTATTGGATGTACAATGCAGCTTGGTGCTGGGGGGTGGCAGCGTGAGTTCAAGCGTGATGTAGAGAGAGCTGGTTGGTGAGGGTGCTCAGAGGACAGGCAGCTTGTAGGGCGGCAGGGTCGCCGGCGGGAGCGAGGGCCGCCAGGCAGCGGCGGAGGAGGTGGTGTAGCTTGCTGCGGCTGTAGCTAGAAGAAGAGAGCGATAGGTCGATACGATACGAGGTCTTTAGTTAAGAGGTGAAAGAAGATTATTAGGGGTTGAAGGAAAGGTGGTGAAACTGAAATACAGTAGGAGTAGAAAGAATCTGGGCTCAACCAGATCGCTTCATCTTTCTTATTGGTGTTTTATCTTTGTTCTACTCCCTTGGGTCGTCAGACCTTTGTATTAATATTGGTTTATTTATATAATGCTGCTTATTATTATTATTTTTATTATTGTTGGAGTTAGTGAGCCCGCCCAGGTCCTTGTGTAACTGGGAGGGTAGTCACATTTTTTTTTGAGGTATTAGTTAAGTGTTAGTTGTATTAGTCTAAAGGTACACTGTATGGAGAGGCCTGCCAGGTTCTTAGTGGAGCTGGTAGGTCACTCTCATCTTTATTCCTCTATTAATGTTTTATGTGTAAATGTGTATATTGGGGCAGGAGGTGGTTCAATTACTTCTTCCTGGCTGATGTAGCTGGGAGGGTAAGCACATTATTATTATTATTATTAATTTTTTTTTTTTCGATGGAGTTAGTGAGCCCGCCCAGGTCCTTGTGTAGCTGGGAGGGTAGTCACTTTTCTTTTTCTTTTTTTTTTTTGCCATGATGTTAGTTCAATGTTAAATGTTAAATATTAGTCATGTTAGTCTAAAAGTACACTGTATGGAGAGGCCTGCCAGGTTCTTAGTGGAGCTGGTAGGTCACTCTCATCTTTTATTCTCTCTATTAATGTTTTATATGTATATTGGGGCAGGAGATGGTTCAATTACTTTCTTCCTGGCTGATTTAAACCAACTGTGTTCTTGGAATTCTTCGTTGTCTATATTATTTATCCAGTTTTGATATGTTTCTGTGTTAAGTTCAGTCACTTTTTTCCAAATATTTACAGCTTTGTTGTGTATATCTACATTGATTGCTAAGAGATTTGCTCTCTTGTGTAGCTGTTCATTACTGATGTGGTCTGTATATTTTATGTTATATATAAATCTAAGGGCTATATTTTGTACTGTTTGTAACCTTTTAATGCACGTTTTACTAAGGGTGTTCAATGGGATGGGTGGGTAGTCCATAATTGATTTGACAAGGGCAATATATATCTTTCTCTTGTTGTTAATGCTAAGGTTCTTAAAGCGTTTTATTTTTGATAATCTTATTCTTGCCTGTCGTTCTTTATCTTTTAAGTATGTTATATATCCTCTTTTTGTTAGTTTTAATCCAAGCATCCTGCCTTCAGTGTCGTATGGGTATAGTTCCTGGTCGACTATTACTGGACTTGTTTTAATCTTGGCTATTGGTATTATCTTGAATTTGTTCTTATTTGTCCTGATTTTCCATTTTTTCTCAAAATCATTTATGTTTTTTATCGCTCTTACCGTGTAGAGTGCCATAAATTGGGTTGATTTTCCTGGGTATGATACTATTTGAGTAATATCATCAGCAAACATTACATATTCGCTAAAGGGGGTAGGTTGAGGTGTGTCTGAAGTATAAATTGTATATAGTGTTGGAGAAAGGCATCCTCCTTGAGGTACTCCACTCTCAAGATTAAACATAGTTCCCATAAAGTTTCCAATTTGAATTTGTGCTCTCCTATCATCTAAATAGTTACACAATATTCTTAGCAAGTATTCGTTAAGTCCCAGTTTTAATATTTTATATTTTAAGCCTAAATGCCAAACTTTATAAAAAGCCTTAGAAACATCCCTTAAAATTATATTGATCTGGTTACCCTTTCTTTTTTCTATTGCAATTATTTCCGTTATTATAGCTATTGCAGTTAGGGTATTTCTATTGGGCATAAATCCATGTTGTCTGTTGTTAGTTTTCCCATGTTGTGTTAAAAAGGCTATAAGTCTTGTATTTAAAATTTTTTCCAATAGTTTCCCAGTAATTTCTAATAAAGATATTGGCCTGTAGTTTAATATTTCCTTATTGTCCTTACCCTCCTTCGGAATAAATATCATTTTAGCATATTTTAGTTTGTCTGGAAAGTAACCAGTTATTAAGCATGCGTTATAAATGTTTAATAGTGTTTTTAAAATGTTTTCAGGTAGATTCATGATCATATTTCGTGTAATACCTGTGAGCCCAGGGGCTTTTTCCTTAAACTTCCTCAGACAGTGCATCATTTCTCCCATGGTTATTATTTGATTATTAGGTAATAAGTTATAGTCTATATATTGCCTTGGGGTGATTCTATGTATATGTCTTCCCATTTCGTCTTCTATCCTTTCTTCGTGTTCACTATCAAAATCTTCATTTTCCTCATCTGATATTTTAAAAACTTTTACCCATTCCCTTTTGAATGCTGACTCTTGTTCATTTTCCTCGTGCAGTTTTGTTCCATTTTGGTCTTTAATG